CTGCCCATCTCGTGTGACACACACCCCTGTTTCCAGGGTACGTGTAACCCCGTTACATCTTATGCGGTCACGTCAATTTTCTTAAAGGCTTCTACAAATTTTCACTCCTTCTCGGTCAGCTATATATGTGTTTTCTGATAAGCAATATTCTTTCAAACCATAATCGCTTTGTCATTCTCATGAGCGGTCTCTCTGTTGTTGGGGCTTTGCAATTGTTATTTGTCGCAGTTGCTGCCTCAGTTTTAGTTGTCTGCAGCGATCTTGTGTCATTGTTGTCTGTGGCGGAACCGCTTAATTACCCGAAGGCTGTTTGCATATTTAAGGCAAGGGGGAAGTGGGTGACGGAAATTCAGCAGGCATAGATAGTCGACGTTGGAACTGTAAGACTAACGCAAGTGCCGAGTGCGCGCACCGCAACTCGCAACGTGTCTCGTATCTTGGATCATGTTCTGTTTGACTACCAGGTGCAACAGGGTATAGGTGATTCCAGAATGTTCAAACAGGATTGATGTCAAGATCAATCAATGATACTGTAGATTGTGGGCCAAATAACCATCTTCGGTGCCGTCGGACGCCCCAAAAGAAGGATGCATGTGTGGAAAACTGACGAAAGCAAAGTATTACAGTATGTTTCGGCAAGACTCGGATAGTCATCGGGAGTGTTCTCATTGAAGAACACCTCGGCATCCTTGCCAATACTTTGGTAAAGTGCGACGATCATTCCAATGAGCTGGAATGCTCACTGGAATGCTCTATCTGGTGCACGAAAGCAGACTTCCAGCACCGGTACGTTCATATGTACAGGTACGATAATTGGAGTGGAACTTTTGGAGCGGTCAGTTTTGCGCAGTGCCCCAAAATCATAAAATAAGTGGAAATACCAGTGTAGTCCACAATTGTATATATTACAATACGGTGCAATTGAGCAAAATTCACCTTAACTTGGTATAATTGGATTATAATCAGTAATTGAATGACATGGATACTTCATCATGCTATGCAACTTTAGTCTTTCTCTAAGGTCGTGGGCAACAGTTACGTCACCGTAAAACAGTACTAACATGTTACATTCAAGCTGTGTATGATCAGCGGAAAGCCCCTCCATTTTGGAGACCTGCCCCCGAAATTCATTTATGCATCAGAAAATCAAGTTTAGATCGATTTGAGAAATTACTGCTATTCAGTCTCTTTCACATTGTGACCAGGACAATCATATCTCAACACTTGCTACTAGCATTGTACTCATACAATGACTTTTCTTTTTCTTGACCTTGTTGATCGTGGACCCTTCTGGATACCCAAGCTTTCTAATCTCCTTAGAAAGCGACTGTAATGTTGCCTGATATTCCCAATCAAACATGCTGTGGCAACAGTGACCTGATCTCCGTCGGCCTGATACATCCTTTTCTTGAGTGTCCTTGTCAAACTCTTCTGGATACGAACAAGGTTTAATAACTCCATCAACAGACTAGACAACTAGAGGCGCGAGCCAGTGCCATTGACGGTGAATATTGTCAATGAGAAAAAAAACTCATTTTCTTTTATGCGTCACTTGATCGCATGGCGGCACGGAACGCCAAATTTTCTCGAAACAACCTTGCAGTCATCACCGTCATCGATGTCGATAAAGTTCTTATACTGCTCCATCATCTTGTACATAGAATGTTTTCATACTTGCTTACCGACGGCTTAATGAACTCTACAGCATGGCGATGGGGCAAAGTGGAACTGTCAAAATCTAATTTGGTATTCAATTATGTGAACTGTGTAGACAGATCATGCTGAATAACGTGAGACGATCGTTATCTACAATGCTTAAAATCCTTTGAACGGTGAAGTGATTGCCCTCGTTGCGCGACGTACTGGTTTTTCCAAGTGAATAAAATGACCAACAATAACGTATGATCTCGTCTTTGTGAATGAGCCAAGTAACGGTGCACATACTGGTCCAACGCATCTTGACTTGGTCGCGATTGCTTTGGAATGTGGACCAGCTTTCTTCAAATATCCGTTCGCTGGAACAGTAGACAAGCTGGCTCTGGTCGTCTATAAAGCGTTGTGGTCGTCTGTGCTTGCAAATTTCTTGGCTGCATCCACCGGGATATTTTTGTTGATATGCCATACGAAAAGCAAATTTTACACACAAGAAAATACTACGCCAGGAACAGTCATTAACGCAAGCTCGCGATCAGTGACAACGACAGATGGCTTGGTCACAAGCTCGAATGATTGGAGCTCTCAAACATACATGAGCTTGTCTTGTTGTATATGATCGCAAAGCTAGCATTAAATGAGCTGTCGATGACCGTCATCCTGACGATGATGATCAATGCATACCAAATCGATTCAACGTGTAGGTTCAGCCTATGAGAAACTCCACACTGAGGCCCCTTGCAAGCTCTGATGCCGTTTCGTGAAAAAATAAAGGCAGAGCAATTCGCCGTCCGGACCCACCATCACTTTGACGATAGTCATCAGCAAAAGTTTAATGAGCGTCTTTATAGACTCTATTCTTGCGACCACTTTTTTGCTGTAGATTGTTTTCCTGGTGAAGCATTATGTCAGAGTTTGAGACGACTGAATAATGAATAAAATCACCATTCAGTCGTCGGGCCGTTCAAGATTGTCAAAGATCGGATAATTGTGCACTATGTCTGCAGCGGGGCTGCCGTAGCTCAGCGCTTGAGGAAGCGTAATTTAGGTCACCGACCTTTCGTTCTATACTTTGAACAAGTATGAGTAAGCGGATCGCAATCCGCTTACTCCAAGAGTAATTATTGCAATACCCAAGGCAAATAAGCTCTTTCATTCAAAATCCAAAACTGATTTTTATTTATTTTTATCTGCGGCAAAGCCGCCTAATTTTAAAAGTTTAAATTTTCCTAAATATACTTGATATTCATAGTAAAATCTAAATACATGTATAACTACTGGCTACCTAACCCCGTACCGTATTCTTGTTTGGGTGTGGTCACACCATGCACATCTCGTGTGACACGTACCCTGTTATCAGAGTACGTGTAACCCCGTTACAATGTCTGCTTACCGATCGCCCATCGTCCCATTTTCTCGGAGATTTTTGCTCAGGTGAAACAAGGACATTTCACAAAACGACTGCCTGTTTGTCCTCTTCAGTTTTATCTGTCAACCCCAAAGGATTACGATATTGCCCACCATAATAACACCCTATGGTGATTCTTCTGTTGTCGCTGTGCTTGCCCAACACGACCATGACATTCTGAGTACGGCAGTAATCCTTGATCAGTAGTGTAAGCCCTATCCATGATTGAAGCGGGGGGGGGCATTGATATTCAGAGTAGTTGCAGCTGGAAGCCGATTCAAAGCGTTAGCAGAGAGTTGACCGATAGCAGGGGTGGATGATTGATCCATGGGTGTTGTAGTGTACGAATGTATATGAAGAACGGACAGGTACTACTAGCCTGTGGAAAAAGGATATTTTTTATTTCATCCGAGGGGTCTCGTGTATTAAAAAAAATGCCCATGCCTTGGGGATTATAGCTATTTTGGTCCTGCAAGTATACACAATACTGAAATAAATTTGATTTACTGATCCATGTATAACTTTTGGGCAATTAGCCAAAATGGGAGTGATTTTAGTGTAACTCTTCATTGAATTTCAAGAGGCAAATAACGCTTTTCGAATTAACGTATGTTTCGAATTGAGCTAAACCTGGCAAAACCTTATCACTAATCAGCAACGTGGCGGCTGGCTTGCTGTCCATGAAAATGGTGTCCACTGTACTGAATTGGCTCTATTCTCTCGCAAACTGAGTCGTCAAACAATTTACAAGGCGGCACCTACATCGAGCACAACCATCGCGGCCACCTTCACAGCCTCCAAAGCTTTACCTGTGACATTTTTAGTATTGGAAGCTATTTGCTTTATCTTCGATCTAAAAGTTCTAGCAGACTTTTCCGTCTTCTTAGCTGAATTTTCAGCCACCTTCCCCAATTTGTCATGCGCATTTTCTCTCTTCTTCCCCATCTTCTTTCCTTGCTTCTTTTCCACACTCTCTTTAGGTCCGGCATTCTTCTTAGCCCAACGAAGCTTCTTGAAATATCCTTTAGATTTTGACGATGAGGCAGCAATCCTTTCTTTGGTTGAGCCACTGACTTTCACATTCTCCGTTTGCATAAGAAACCTCTTGCCATCGAGCGCATGAGTCACAGCCTCGGCTTCATTCTCAGCAGCTTTGAGAGATCGTGTTTTGTTACTGTCCGTAGCTGCTAACGAAGCAATACCATTCGAAACGACAAAGGCGGCAATAACGAGCAAAAGAAAGAGGTTGGGCATCTTCATTCAAGGTCACAAAATGACTCCGACAGAAATAAAAACACGAAGTAAGTTGATTCTTTTCGTTGCATCTGTATCACTCTCCGCATATAAAAGTGTCTACCTGACTCATACTCTCTTTTTTGTTTATGTCCAAAACAAAAGCTGTTTGATTAGAAAGCGCAATGATATTCAGCATCCATATTTCTGTAACCGAAATCTTAGAAGCAGCCATACTCTTTTAAGCTGTAAGTTCTCTATAATGCTGTACGTCATACGATCATATTGAAAATAGAGTCATTGTTATATTATCAAAGACCAATACTTCCCTACATACATGCAACCAAGGGAGTTGCCAAATGATTATGCAGTGCTGATACTTACCATATGGATAGGGAGCGAGATTTGGACTTGGCTACTTGTACGTTTTTTATCGTAACTGAATCCTCAACAGAT